GGGCAGGTGTCACAGTCCACCGAGGCCCCTCCTGTGTCCAGGGCAGGCGTCACACAGTCCACCGAGGCCCCTCCTGTGTCCAGGGCAGGTGTCACAGTCCACCGAGGCCCCTCCTGTGTCCAGGGCAGGTGTCACAGTCCACCGAGGCCCCTCCTGTGTCCAGGGCAGGTGTCACACAGTCCACCGAGGCCCCTCCTGTGTCCAGGGCAGGTGTCACACAGTCCACCGAGGCCCCTGCTGTGTCCAGGACAGGTGTCACAGTCCACCGAGGCCCCTCCTGTGTCCAGGGCAGGTGTCACACAGTCCACCGAGGCCCCTCCTGTGTCCAGGGCAGGTGTCACAGTCCACCGAGGCCCCTCCTGTGTCCAGGGCAGGCGTCACACAGTCCACCGAGGCCCCTCCTGTGTCCAGGGCAGGCGTCACACAGTCCACCGAGGCCCCTCCTGTGTCCAGGGCAGGTGTCACACAGTCCACTGAGGCCCTTATACCCTTTTGTCCTTCAACCCTGCCCACGGGCAGCCCCCACTCGCACTGGGGCCCGCTGTCTCCCCTCCTCCTGCCCACACCACAGGTGTCCTCCCACCTTCAACCCATGACCCCTCCAGATATGGTGAGCTCAGGCCTGGGGGCAGCTGGGAGGGGTCTGGGCGTGTGGTCATTGTGTCCCCCCCTTCCAGCCCACATGTGGCGTCCTGGCTTTACTCACCCATCAGGTGCCTGTGCCTTGAGCCTCTGTCCCCTGTGGTCCGTCCCATCATAGGACTGAGTTTGGAGTCTCCTGCCTACCACAGCCGCAGGGGCAGGATGTGGGGACCTCGGTGTGACCCCACTGCCCCCAGGGCTCTTTCCCACACTCCACCAGGCTCCGAGGGCACCAGGAGCCCAGACGGCAGCAGACTTGAGTCCTGCCCACCTCTCGGGGCGGTTTGCTTAGCCCAGGCTTGTCCTTGTTTGTTGGGGTGATCATAAAAGTTCCCGTCTCAAAGGGGTCTGGGAAGCGGAGGTTCCCAGGTCCCCACATTCTAGCAGGAGCTTACGGTTGAGGACCTTTGGCTTGTGGATTCGTGTGCTCCCAGGCCCTGCTGGCTGAGCCCTCTTGGTCTCTGGCCCCAGAGTGTCCCCTTCCTGCCACCTGCAGTCTCCACTATCCCCCTGGAGCCCTACCCAGAGCCACCACCCCACTCCTCAGTGGCAGCGCCTTCCAGGACGCCTGTGTGTCCCTGGCCCAGCCACAGCAGCCCTGCCTTCTGGCTTCTGTTCTCAGAACAGCTGCTCTGATTCATAAAAATCAGTTTTTCATTTCCTTTTTCAATTCAGAGACTGCAGACTTGGGAAAAAGAAAGGGGCTTTCTGCTGCTGGCCTGGGAGGGCCTCTTCCCTTCCCCTCTCTGCCCCCTGCCCGAAGATGACCCCACCCTGCTGGCTGGGCCTCCCCAGCACCCCAGCCCCTTCCTCTCTGCTCCCTGCCCCTGCACCCCATCTCCCTACTCCCTCCTCCTTCCCTGGCTCCCTAATTTCCCCTCTGGGGCCTCAGTGGTGAGGACTCAAGCAGGCAAGGATGGGGCGCCAGCCAGGGCTTCGGTCTCAGTGCCCTGGTGGATGCCGCCCTGCTCTCCAGCCCAGGGGCCACCAGCCAAGGCCCAGCAGTGGAGGGACACGCACAGCCATCCACCTTCAGCTGCCCCCAGAGGGGACCAGCGAGAAGGAGCCCACTCCTCAGGCAGCTGAGCGCCTGCTCCCCCAGAGAGTGGATGGGCTGGAGGCCTGCATCTCGAGAGGGAACAGGGGCTCAATGCCCGGGAAACGGTGTCTGGGAAGGAGGAATTTACAGACTTCTGTTTACCAAAACAAGGCCTCTAAAACATTAAACAGCAGCCAATTAAAAAGGGACAGCTTGGGAGGTTTAACCAGTGCCCCCCAGGCCCTGCCCCTTGCCTGCTGCTCCCCCACTCCCCCGTCCCAGGTCGCTCCCACCCCGTCACGCTCAGCCTTTGTGGAGTCTTTCAGGAGCAGAGTTTAATCTGGTAAACATCTGCTCCAGATGCAGCTCCCACGCAGACCAGGCTCAAGCCTCAGCCGGGCGTCCTCAGCTGGAGGGCAGCTGCAAGGCTGTGGCGGGGCCAGGGTGCCTTGCCCAGGTCCCCAGACTTGGCCTGGGCCGTGCGGCCTCACAGGGAGACGGGACTGGGTCCTGCCAGGCAGGCATCCACATCGCTGGACTTTTCAGAGCCCTCCCTGTGTTCACGCCCTGTGAGAGACTCCAAATGGGGCGGGTGTGGGGTGCATCCTTGGAGCTGGTGACCCAGAGCTCAGGTTTCCCGGAGCATGTCCTGGGGCTCCAGCTCCACAGATTTCCCTGGGATCCACGAGCCAGAGAAGATTGGTGGCTGGTTGTGCCTGCCGCTGCTGGGGACCTGCTGGGATTGGGGTCTGGGGTGCCCCTTTTGGACTTGGGGCCGATTTTCCAGGGAAGATTCAGAGCAGGAGTTTTAGTGGGTGCCCCAGCCCAGCTGCATTCGTTCTGGTTCATCCTGGCAGCTTGAAGTTCTGGAGTGCTCCTTCCAATGTCTTCTCAGGCCTGCAGAGGGCTGCCGGACCCCCAGCCACAGCCAGCCCCTCGGCCCTCACCTTCAGGCAGCACCGTGGTGTGCTGGGACTGGGTGGGTCTGTCTGAGAGCTCCGCCTGGGGCCCAGGGCCTGCTGGGGAACCAGAAGTCACACTCCCTGTGGCCGGTGTCCCTGGTCCAGCAGACCTGCCCCCTGCAGTGCCTGGACCGGGAGCAGGTGCCCACAAGCCTCCCAGGCCGTGCTTGGCCCTGTCCTGACCCGCCAGCTGCACCTTCATCCCTGGGGTGGGGTCAGGTGTGCCCCCACACAGCCAGAGCTGTCCCAAGGCCCAGGGCCAGCAAGAGGGTGGCTGGGTGTGGCTGGCTTTCCTGTTCCGGGCAGGGGCAGGCTGCTCAGAAATTTGGCTGACTTGAGGGACAGACCCCTTTGTCTAGAGAGTGGCCTGGCTGGCATGACTTGGAGTTCCCGCCTGGGATTTTGGGGCTGGGGCCTGTGCAGGGGACTCTTTGGGCTCCCCGCCCCGACCCTGTGCAGATCTTGGAGCTGGAAGAGGCCCTGCCATGGTGGGAACTTGGCATCAGATGCACACCTGTGCCCCCAGCACGAGGAGGGCAGCCACACCACCACAGCACTGGCCCCTGGCACAGCTGTCCACTGGGCCCTGCGGCCTGTCGGGGAGGCCATGCCCAGGCCTGGCTCTCCCTTGGCCAGGCCCTTGGTGCAGCAGCATCTGTCCACGGTGCCCCCTCTTCCCATGAAACCTTCCCAGAATCCCTTTTGTTGCCCGGCCTGGGAGCTTCCGCGATGCTGAGTGCTGCTGGGAGGGAACCGAGGCCCCTCATCTGTCCCCCGTCTCCCCATCCCATCAGCAATTCAATTTGTGCTGCACCGGAGGGATGGCGTTAGTCGAGTCAGAGTTAATATGATGTATTGACGGGCTGATTTCCCCCAGCGGCTGCGTGCTGGGCTCCGCGGGGCAGCACTCCTGGGCCGACTGACGGCTTCTTGCCTCCCTGGGGTCAGGGCGATTGCGGCCGGGAGGCTGGGAGGTGCCTCTGCAACCGGGTCTCCTTGCTCCTCTAGCTCCCGGGTACCCCAGATTTTCGGGGAGTCTGGCATCCACCTTCCTACCCGTGAGCCACTTGGATCACCATGGAAACAGCAACGTTCTCTACGGGCAGCACCGTTTCTATGGAACCCAAAAAGGCAAGTGCAGCGCAGGCCAGCTGGGGGAGCAGGGCATGCTGGAGGCGGGGAGGGGCACAGCAGCTTCAAGGCCTCCTTGGTGAGCCCTCCCACCGGGTGTCACCGAAGCCAGGGTAGGGGCTAGAGGAGAGGGTGGGCATGCCCTTTGGGATTTAAACCCAGGGACCCAGGACTGCCCCCAGGCGCAGGTTCAGTTCCCAAGTCTAGCTCTAGCCACACTGTCTGACCTCTTCTCAGTGCTCAGGCGGGAGCAGCTGAGCTGGTGCCCGGCTTCCTCATCACCCTAGCCCCACCAGCTTCCGTGGGACCTGGCCTTGCCTGCAGCTCCTGGAACCCCGGGGATCCTGGGGTGGCTGGGGAGGAGGAGGCATCCCACAGAAGCTTGCACTTCCTGGCTCACACAGTTGCTGGCCTGGGCCCAGCACCCCCCCTTCCTCCCCACCCCGTGCCCTAGTGGACAGAGGTGTTGCTCACCCCACTGCCAGCAGGCTTCCCCGAAGAATGGACACAGAGTTTGAGTCTTGGCTGAGAAGTCAGAGCCAGTGGGACCTTGGGGAAGGGGAATCACAGGGCCATAGGGGCCAAGTCCTGGTGCCAGCAAGTCCCTGAGAGGGCCTGGCTGGAGGTGGATGGGTATGGGTCCTTATCTCCAAGGTGGGTTTCTTCTGGTGGGGCGACATTTCATTTGCATTTTTTTTGTTTTTTTTTTGAGACAGAGTCTTGCTCTGTTGCCAGGCGCCAGGCTGGAGTGCAGTGGCACGATCTCAGCTCACTGCAACCTCCACCTCCCGGGTTCAAGCAATTCTCCTTCCTCAGACTCCCAAATAGCTGGGACCACAGGCACGTGCCACCACGCCCAGCTAATTTTTGTATTTTTTAGTAGAGACGGGGTTTCACCATGGTCTCGATTTCTTGACCTTGTAATCTGCCCGCCTCGGCCTCCGGAAGTGCTGGGATTACAGGCGTGAGCCGCCGCGCCCGGCCTCATTTGCATTTTTAAAAGTCCTCCTTGGGGTGGCACCAGGAGGCTGGAGCAGGAAGCTGTCCATTAGTTACCAGGTTAGTTAACGGTGCTCCAATGAAAAGCGATATAGGTGTGGGGTTCCACAGGGGCCAGCCTTGGTGATAGCTAGGAGGGGTATTGGCAGCAGGGAGGGACAGAGGGGTCTAGGTGACCCCCAGTGTCTGGCCTAGGCTATGGGAGGGCACACCTGGGAGGAGCAGTTGGAGGGAGGGGTGAGTTCCACTCCAGTGCGGAGGGGCTTGGGTGTCTCCCTAAGAGGATCGGAGAGGTGTTTGGACACACGGGGTGGGGTCAGTGTGGAGGGCGGACTGGGAGGTTGTCCTAACTGTGGAGAGGGATGCCCAGGCCGCGGCGGGTGAGGAGGGAGGCTGGGACAGTTGGCTTCCTTCCGCACAGCCCCTGGGAGCTCGGGAGCCCTGGTGTTTAGGGCTGGAGCTCAGGGTAGGGACAGAGGAAAGGCCCAAATAGCCCCCCGAAGGGGCTGGGAGGTAGACTGGACGCCCTGCAGGGGATGGAGGGAGCGACCCCAGTGAGCCTGTGGCCATGAGGACCCCAACTCTGAGTGTGAGCTGGCGGGTGGGGACCTGAGGCCGGTCTGCCCGTCATCGTGGCCGACCCTCAGCCCCTCCTCCCTACCCCACGCTCACACTCCAAGACCTTCCTGTGGCCTGCACCTCCTCGCCTGCAGGAGCGTGAGATAGCTGAGGCTCAGGAGGGCCTTGGCCTTGCCCAGGCCAGCCAGCTGCAGGGGTGCAGGCATGGGGGCCAGGAACTCACCATCAGCCCCACCCAGCAGACTCAGCTCTGACCCAGGACAGGCACCCAAACCTTGTCTCCTCACCCCACACCCCAGCTCCTGCACCTGGAGGCAGAGGGGCTCAGCAGCCCAAGGATAGCCCAGCAGGCCAGGTTCCCCCAGACCCCTCGTCAGCCCGGCACGCATGCAGCTGTTTTGACAGCGTTTGGCCGGTCCCAGCCCCAGAAACCCAACCCCTCCACCAGCGCAGGGGACTCCCTCTGAGCAGTGCGCCGGCCAGGCCTCTCGGCTTCCACAATGTTGTGGTGGAGCCGCGTCCAAGAACAGTATTTGGTTTTGGAAATGGAGCTAATTAGGTTTCGCTCAGGCTAGCCCCTTCCCGCTCCCCTTCCTCCTTGTTTCTAATTAGCAGGAAATTGACAAGGAATTTACATGCCTGAGGACAATTTTACAAGTTCCAAATGTTTCTTTTGTTTCCCCCCTTGTCTGCTCCCTCCGCTCTTGGCACCACCCAGCTGCCCACCCACCCAGCTGGGCATGGGGAGGGGCAGGTCCCCCGGGGTCCCAGAGGCGGTGACCTGGCCCCCTCTGTGGGGAGATGGGTACCCCCAGCGCAGCTGGAGTGTGGAGAGCTTGGGGCAGACTAGCCGGGAAGGGTGGGCCCGGGCCACAGCCCAGGCTGGGCAGCCATTCCAGGGACTTCAGAGGGAGCCCCCAGACACCCACCACCCACCAGGCAGGGTGAGCACAGCTGCTGCTCTCTGCTTCCGAAGCCACTGGCCTTTCTCCATTTCAACCCACCAGCCTGAGGCATCCAGACGAGAGGCTGGGGGTGTCGGGGCTGGGAGCTCCCAGGGTGCCTAGGAGGTTGTTGAGCCCATCCTCCACGCCCACCTGTCCTTCCACGCCCCTCTGGGGGTGCCAGGAGCCCGCTTGCCACCTGTCCCTGGTTTCCGAGGTCCTGGTGCCTGCTGGTAAAGACCCAGCTGGGCTGCCCCATGACACTGACTGCCTGCCCCGCTTCCGCCCAAAACCCCCACTGGCACTGGCCAGGCAGGGGAGACTGGCCTCAATTTTTCATCTTCCATCTCTGAAGTGTAGGGGGCTGGACGGAAGTTAGCTCTGGGGCAGACGGTGAGTATGTCTTAGGGACAGAGCGTCAGTTTGGGAGGGTGAGAGACTCCAGCCATGGATGGTGGTAACGGTGACATGGCCGGGTGGATGTGCCCAGCGCCCCTGAACTGTGCACCAAAAATGGGAAATTTGATGCTGCCCATATTTCACACAATTTTACTTTAAAAAACAAAAGCAAAACCCTTCCCTAGGCTGTAACCTGGGGTTGGTGCCAGCTGGTGTCCGGGGGGCACTGGGAGCACTGTCTCTGGAAGCACTGTCCCGGAGTCTCTCCAGCCTCACCCCCAAGGCCTCCCATCGACCTTGGCTCTTTCCCTGCAGATAACTTCTACCTGCGCAACCTGCCGCCCCAGCCCACACTGCTGCCAGCCAACCACAACTTCCATAGCGTGGCCCGGGCCGCTCCCCCCCACCCCATGGGCTCATGTAGCCGGGATCGAGACCGGGGTGAGGCTGGCTCTCTGCAGAAGGGCCCCAAGGACTTCGACCGCTTCCTCATGGGCAAAGAGCTGTGCAGAGAGAAGGCGGGCAAGGTGGCTGAGGGCAAGGAGCGGCCGGCGGCGGAGGAGGACGGTGGCAAGGAGCGGCACAAGGTGGTGCTGCCGGCGCCAGCAGACGGGCACTGCAGGGAGGGGGGCCCCGCCGCCCGAGGAGCCTGTGAGGGCCGCCCCAAGCACCTCCCCTCCTGCCTCCTCAACACCAAGGTGCTCAACGGTGACATGGGCAGGGCTGCGCTAGCCAGCTGTGCAGGGGGCGTGCTGGGGAGGCCTGGTGCCGGGGTGGCAACCTCTGGGCGCTGTGCCAAGGAGGCAGCGGGCCCCCCAGAGCCTGGGCCGGCCTTCAGCGAGTGCCTGGAGCGGCGGCAGATGCTGCACCACGCTGCGTCCTACACCGTGCCGTCCGGCCTGCCCTCCGGGCCGCCCCCACCCCTCAGCACGGCCGCCGGCTCCTTCCCCTGCCTGCAGCTGCATGGGGGCCCCGACGGGCTCTGCCCACTGCAGGACAAAGTCCCTCGGGACCTAAAGGCCAGCGGGCCCACCTTCGTGCCTTCTGTGGGACACCTGGCCGACAAGAGCCGCCCCTTCCAGGCCGCTGAGGCCTGCGCCATAGCAGGCGAGGGCAAGGAGCGGCACCTGGAGGCAGCCATGGCCCCTGAGCACGCCGCACCCTACGGAATCTCCTATGCCCACCTGAAGGCGGAGGGCAAGGCCGAGCGGCGGCCTGGGGGCTTCGAGGCGGCCCTCAACCCCCGGCTGAAGGGTCTGGACTATCTCAGCAGTGCAGGCCCCGAGGCCCCCTTCCCTGGACTCCCTAAAGGCAGTCTGGACAAAAGCGGCTACTTCGAGTTGCCCACCGCTTCACAGGACTGTGCCCGGCCTGGTCACCAGGACCCGCTGGGCGGGAAGGCCCCCCAGACCTGCTGCACTTTAGAGAAGACAGCTGGCAAGGAAGCCCCAGCCGGCCCCCCTGGGGCGCAGAAGGTGGCGAGGATCCGGCATCAGCAGCACTTGGTGGTGCCCGAGGTGGATACAGGGGGCGTTGGGGCCGAGGCCAAGCGCAAGTCCCTGGAGCTGGCGTCCCTGGGCTACGGCGGGCCCCACCTGCCTCCGTGGGGTGTCCAGGCCGGCCAGGGCACCACCATGGCCATCGGTGAGGAGCGTAAGGCTGGCGCCTACCTGGACCCCTTTGTCGGGGGCCTGCAGCAGGCACCCCTTCTGCCCCAGGAGCTGCCTGCGCCGCCAGACGAGGTCTCGGCCATGAAGAACCTGCTGAAGTACAGCAGTCAAGCCCTGGTGGTGGGCCTGGGCGGCCTCAAGGCCAGCTGCGTCCAGCAGGAAGCGAAGTTCGCGTCCTCTAAGGGCTCAGGCCAGGCAGAGAGGCCGGACTGTGCCCGCAGCCGGGAGCATGACACCGTGCACGGTGACGGGGAGGTGCGGCAGCCCCCTGTGGGCATCGCGGTGGCCTTGGCCCGGCAGAAGGACACGGTGAGCCGGACCGAGGCAGCCTACGGCACCAACACTACGCGGCAGGGCCGGGCCGCCCCCACCTTCAAAGGTATGGGCCCTGCAGAGGGGAAACCGGGCCCATCTAGGGTGCCCAGCGGGCCCTGCCCCGTGCCCCGCACCCTTCACCCCCCAGCTCCCACCGTTGCTTTTGGCCGACCCTCCAAGGCCCCAGGACGAGGGCACCCTCCTCAGTGCTTCGGGCTCCCCAGCTCGAGGTGGTTCCCCAGCCACCCCAGCCCTCCCCGTTCTGCCATCTCCGCCCTGTACAGCTGGCGGTGGGCCCCGTTCCACACACGCGCTGGACCTGGAGGCCGAGGAGGAGAGGACCCGGCTGTGTGATGACCGCCTGGGACTGGCCAGCCGCGAGCTGCTGCTGCAGTGAGAGCCGGGCCTATGGCCCTGGGGAGTAGGGCCAGGCCTGGGCGTGGAGGTCCCCGCTCAGAGCCACATGGAGGACAGAAGGGTGGTCGTGACTGGGGCAGCAGACTGTATGGTCGGCCATGGGTGAGGTTCTTCCCACCCCTAGAGCCTTTCTGGGATCTCACTCTGGGTTGGGGGGTCTCAGCTAACCCACCGCCTCGGTAAGGTCGGCCACTCTCAGGCCAGGAGAGGGCCCCCAGTCAGCCCTGCAGAGCGCTGAGACTGGAGCCTGGGGTTTTCCCCGAGCCATCAGGCCCCGTTCTCCCTCCCAGGCTGGTGGGGGTGGGATGGGGAGCGGGTGTCGGCTGCTGTGGCAGGGCTGAGCTCCACGTCTTACAGGGACGGCAAAGACCGAGCAGAGCTCACCCGGATCCACCCTCCGAGCAGCTGCCCTGGGGACCTGGCCCCCCACCTCATGATGCAGAGTGGCCAGCTGGGGGGGGGACCCGGCCCCCCACACTCACCCCCACGCACCCTGGCTGCCCCGTACCCGAAGCCCCTCCCTGTGGATGGGGGGACATTCCTACGGTCAGTGCTCCAAGGGTGGGGTGAGGGCTGGCCTGGGGCTGACGGGCTCTCTCCTGGTCCCCGAGGGGAGGCATCACCACTGTGGCCTCTGCTTCCCAGGCCTGGGGCACCCCGCCCTGCACCAGAACCTGCCCCCCGGCTTCCCTGCCTCCGTGGCCGGCCCTGTCCCCTCGGTCTTCCCCCTCCCCCAGGATGCCCCCGCACAGCTGGTCATCCTGCCCTCGGAGCCCACACCCCACAGCGCCCCCCACACGCTTGGTAAGGACCCCTGGGCCAGGCCGCTGCACGCGTTTGGAAGGAGGGGCAGTGCAAGTGGGCTGGCCGGGGCTCTGGAGGGAGCGGTGGGCTTCCAGGGCTGAGGAAAGAGTGGAGGGGGCGCAGGGAAGCAGCCCGGAGCCGTCCCCTCCCAGGCTGGGCTGACCCTCCCGGCCCTGCCCGCAGCAGATGTCATGGACCAGGCCTCGCTGTGGCCCCCCGTGTACGGGGGCCGGGGCCCCGCCTCCCATATGCAGCGCCCGGGCCAGCTCCCTGTGTACGCGCGGCCGCAGCTCCTCCGCCAGCCGGAGCTCTATGCCTTGCAGCAGCAGCAGAGGGCCGCCCAGTTCCAGGTATCGCCCCCAGCCACACCCACCTGGGCTGCACTCCCCCACCTTCGCCCAGCCCCCACCCTGCCTGGCCGGCCCTGGCTCCAGGAGCCCCCTGCATGCCTGCCCTCCAGCAGGAGGTACCCCAGCAGGGGCCCTGGTTGAGCCTCTCCCCTTCCCTGACAGCGGAAGCCTGAAGACCAGCACCTGGAGCTGGAAGAGCCTGCCCAGGAGAAGGCCCCGAAGTCCACCCACAAGCCAGTTGCCTTAACTCTCACGGTCCCGGGCGCCCCCGCACCCGCTGCAGGCCCCAGCAAGCTGCCACCCTGCTGCCACCCACCCGCCCCGAAGCCCCCGCCCAGCTGCCCCACCCCACCACCTCGGCCCAGCGCCCCGTGCACTTTAAATGTCTGCCCTGCTGGCAGCCCCGGGCCTGGCTTCAGGGTGCCCAGTGCCGAGCAAAAGAATGGGGAGGGCCAGCAGCCAGAGGCCGACATCGTCACCCCGGAACCAGGTGAGAGCAGCCGCCTGGCCCAGACTGATCCCCGTGCTCTGTGCCCAGCCCTCCTGCCCCTGCCTGGCACGGCAGCACTGAGTCAGGCTGCCTGGGATGCCCCGTGCCTGCCCAGGCCTAGGGCATTCTGGTTTTTCCCTTCCTTCTTCTTCTCTCTTCCCAATCCTCTGACAACCACACCGTGCCCTAGCCGCCTCCTTCCTGGCCCTGGGCTGACGAAGGTGCGATGAAGCCTGGCCGGCCATGTTGGGGACCTTCCCCGGTGATGAAGGCGGGGCCTGCTGGTGGTGGTGCTGGCGCTCTGGGGGCACCAGGCATGGGACCTGACCAGGCTGCCACTCAGGGTCTCAGTAAAGCTGGGTGAAGGAGGGCAGCGAGGAGGGTTGCCGGCGGTGGGGGGGGTCTCGGCCCCTGCCGCCCACCCGTCCACTCCCTGCCAGCCTATTTGATTCTCTTTGAATGAGGCTGAGAGTTCACACTGGAAACGGTGTGGCCAGCATAAAACTCGTCCCAGTTTCACAGTCAGGAGATGGGGCCAACGGGTTTTTTAGGTTTTTTTCCTTAGTTTTTTTTTTCTTTGCAGCTAATGGGACGTGATGCCTCTGACATGCTGCCGGCTCGTTCTGGTTCAGGGAAAACCCTGGTTCAAGCATCATACTTTACAAATCCCCCTTTCTGGCGGCCCACCCCACGGGGTCCCAGAGATAGCTCCCTCAGTGGCCAGGGTTGTGGGGGGAGCTTTAAGGCCACTCTGGTGGGGAAGGAGGGCCTGGCCTCAAGCTGCTCACACTTTTTTTTTTTTTGAGACAGGGTCTCCCTTTGTCGCCCAGGCACAAGTGTAGTGGCACAAACACGGTTCACTGCAGTCTGTCTTCCTGGGCTCACGCCACCCTCCCACCGCAGCCTCCTGTGTCGCCGACCACAGGCGCTCACCGCCATGCCCAGCTCGTCGTTTTTTAATGTTTCTATAGTAGGGGGTGCTCACTCTGTTGCCCAGGCTGGTCGTGAATGCCTGGCCTTAAATGATTCTCCTGCCTCAGCTTCCCGAAGTATTGGGATTGTGCGCATGAGCCACCGCACCCAGCCAGGCCGCCCCCTCAATTAACCTAACACTAACACTTCCCCCGCCATCAGTCTTACAGGCCTGCAGCTGGCCCTAGACCTTCCTGCATGGGCTTGGGTTTGAAGGTTCGAGGCCACCGTTCCTCATCCCATCCCAGGACACCCCCTCCCCACCGCTCCTGGCTCCCTGCTCACCTGTCCCCTCCTTTGCAGACCTGCCTCCCGGATACCTGCGCCCTGTGGCCAGCATGGGCTTCTCCCTACCCTCAGACGTGCACTCTTCTGACCTCGAGGACCCTGAAACTATGCAAACCGCCGCCCCAGGGGCCCAGCCTGAGCCCACAAGGACATTCCTGCCTGGAGAGCCGCCTCCCTGCAGCCCCAGGAGCCTGGAGGAGCCCGGGCTGCTCTCAGGGCCCAGGGAGGCCACCCAGGACCTTGCTGCCACCCCCAACCCTGCCGAGCGGGGACCCCAGGGGAAGGCAGCGGACGTCAGCCCACTTGAGGGGCTACAAGAACTGCAATGTGGGGCTCTGCTCGAGGCGGGGGGCTCCGAGGTCTCCAGCCAGGCTCATTCTACTCAGGGAGGGGCGAGAGAAGAGAGGAGCAGGGAGGAGGGGGAGCAGGGGCCTTCGTCGGAGGCCTCTCCCCAAAGCCTGGAGCAGCAAGCAGGGAGCCCCAGTGCCCTTGATGATGAGGGGGAGCAGCAAGCTCCTGAGGAAGACGAGCTGGAGGAAGATGAGCTGGGGGAGCAGAGCGTGGAGTACTCAGAGGAAGACTGTGGGGCAGCCCCTGACAACAGCCACCCACCCAGGGCACTGCCAGGCCTGGATGCCTTGGTGGCCGCCACCATCAACCTGGGAGACTTGCCCAGCGGCAGCCCACTGGACCCTCAGCCCTTGGCAGCCTCTGCATGCCCCGGCACAGCCCCGCTGCCCCATAGCTCAGGGAATCATGGGATCGCTCTGCTCAGCGAGCTGGCTGACCTGGCAATCCAGCGGCAGAGGAGTGAGAGGGCCATGCCAGGTAAGCCCGGTGACTGCCGCCACCCCCCAGAGCCCCAGCCGTGGGTCCTGCAGGCTTGGCTCGGGGTCAGCCGGCCAGATAGCAATCTTGGGCTCCGCTAAGTTGTTCCTGAAGTGTGGTGGGTCCCCTGGACAGTGTCCACCTCCCCTTGCTGGCCCTTGTCCGTGGAGTCCAAGCCAGGTGTGCCATCTCCAAATCCACCTGTCCCACGTAGGGCCCTGGGACCGGGACTCACCTCCATGGTGGTTTCAGAGGAAGGGCCTCTTGGGCAGCACCTGCTGTTGCCGTGAGCGACGGAGGCTCGGGGCTGTCCCCAACTCCGTCTCACACGTGGGCATGTCCCAGCTTGCAGGGGTGAAGTTGCTTAACAGAGATCCGGGTCCTGGCGGAGGGAGAGGAGAGCCTGCCCCCTGCTCTGCCAGGCCTACACCTCTTCAGGCTCTGTGCCTGCAGCCCTAGGGGGTCCAGCTCAGGAACTGGTTGCTCCCCGCGCAGGCCCCGGGGAGGGGGCAGGAGGCTGGGACTCCTTCTCCAGGGAGGCCTGTGGGACCTGGAGCTCCTGGGCTCTCCCACCCACCCAGGGGCCCCAAGGACGGTGGGCAGGGCCGGAGCCCCTGGGACACTCAAGGGCCAGGTCTGCTTAGCCCACCCTGGCCCTTGGCCTGGGCACCCCCTGCCCAGTGCCCCTGTGAAAGCCCCACTTCCTGCCATCTTCTCTGTGAAAGCCTCAGGATCGAGGGCACCCCCCAGCTGGGCACGGTGCCCTGGTCATTCAAGGGACAAACCTGACATAGTCCTCAGGGCTCGGCCACCACTTTCTGGATGCATAAAGTCACCACAGCCAGAACAGTGCTTTTCCCCAGGGCCCTCTGGTCACTCTCTGCTGGACAAGGCTGCTGTCCTACACCTGCAGGAGTGGTTCCGCAGTGCTGGGGGCTCTCTGCCCTCGCGGGTATCTGGCGCAGAGTTCCTGCTTTTGGGTGGGGCTGTGGGAGGGAGGAAGCTTCAAGACCCTGCCCCGTGGGCTCCAGCTGGACCCCCCACAGGCCCTTGCTTGGGCTTCCAACAGGCTATGTATGAGAAGGTAGACAGCGAGGTACGGGCGCCTTGGGGCAGGGCCTGAGCTGCCGGGGACCCACCATGGCTGGGTGACAGGGACCCTCACCCAGCAGTGTGAGAAGGCATCAGCAGAAGCCAGGTGCTGTGTGTCCAGCCAGGGTGGCCAATCTGCCACAGCAATGCCTGCTGGACGGGAGCCGTTCACTGCATGAAGATGCACACAGGGTTGGGGGCCATGCGCCCTCTAGCCGGGTCCAGTGTCCCAGCCCCCAGGGTGTGCAGAGGTGGAGTTGGGGCCAGCTCGGCCCTCCATGTCCCCGCTGCACGGCCCCTCCTAGACCCTGCCTTCCCCTTGTCCCAGCTAATGGGCAGGCCTGTGTAGCTTTGGGGCGCAGAGCTGATCCCTGCAAGTGTGGCAACCACTCCAGCTGAAATTAATGAGGAGGTTGGTTTTGTCCTGTGCCTGACAGCAGGACTGCAGAGGGAGAAAGAGGAAAAAGTCCCCAGGATCAGGGCCGGGCTGGCAGAGAGCCTCTAGGCCTGGCAGAGCCGTCTGGGTGAGGCCAAGTGGGGGCCACATGCCCGTAGCCTGCAAGGTCAAGGGAGGCCCAGAGTGGCTTCTGGCCAATGGCAGGGACCCCGGGAGACCAGGAGACCTGGGGCCTTCGGCAGAAGGGGCCTGCGGAGGTGCATCCCGGCTGCCCATGGCAGCAGCTGCTCAGCCTGCCCCTCTTGGCCATCTCTCCCCTCATGTTCTCTGGGGACACTGGACCCGAAGCCTGAGCGTCCCCATGGTGGGGACCTGTGGTCTCAGCTCAGAACTTGGGTTCAGTTTTGCACCCCAGCATCTGCCCTCTGGGCACCTCCCGGCTTCTTAGCAGTGACCTTGAGGGATGGATCAACCCTGGGTCCGGGCTTGTGGCCTTCTGGCCCTCCCCTGTCCCTGAGGAGGGAACCAGCCACATGCCGTGGAGTGCCCGTGGAATGTCAGGTGCATCTCTGTGGCTCTCAGGTGCTGATTTGCCACGTGATGGATGGGTTCACTCTGGTCATCCCGAACTCCCACCTCCAGATGAGATCAGCCATGTCTCTGCGGAGGCCCGGTTAAGTGGAGCATGGGGTTCAGAGGCAGAGACCAGGTTTGGGATGCTCATTGCTGTGAGGTTACCGTTATTCCTAGGTGCTCCCAGGGGGTGCCAGCACCTCTGACCCCACAGGGGTCCCCAATTCGCCTGCCTTCCTGGCTATACCCACCCTCCCCCACACACAGTGTCTGGCCGTCTCCTGATGGGTGCCCTTGTGGGATCAGCCCACGTGGGCCCCACTCCCTGTTGCTATGCAGCCCCAGGGTTGGCTCCCCTACTTGGACCCTGAGTCCTCACCCCAGGCCCTCCCCTGCGTGGACACCAGCCTCTCCGCTTGCTCAAGCTCTGACTCCAAGATGGGCCTTGCCTCCCCTGGGCCACTGCCTGGGCTGCTGGGCTGTTGCTCGCTGTGGTCACTGTGAGGGTAGCTCCCCCATCCCCGTCCGCAGGCTGAGGTCCCAGAGCATGCGGCCCTGCCGGCACCCCCTCCTGACCTGTGCTCCGTCATGGCCCTTCTGCCTGCCGCAGGGCTGGGATGTGCTGGAAGGGGTCTGGCAGAGCCCAGCGCTGTGTTCAGAGAGAGGTAGGGGCAGCGATTCACTGCTCTGAGGGGGATGGAGGAATGGTGGCTGCTCCTCTGAGAAGGGCCACAGTGAGTAAGGCTACATCCAGAAACCCCGACCGCTGCCCTCCTCACAAGGAATCCAGGGCCTGGCATGCTGTCCACCTGGGGTCCCAGCTACTCAGGAGGCTGCGGTGGGAGGGTGCTTGGGCCCAGGAGTCCGAGGTTGCAGTGAGCCGTGATGGCACCGCTGCACTCCAGCCTGGGCAATAGAGCAAGACCCTGTCTGGAACCTAAAGGTATGGAGGGGACTTGTCCCTCCCTCTGCAGTGACCAACCACTGGGCTTCCTGCAGCCATCGATTCTTAGGTGTCCACACAGGCAAGTAGACAGAAGGACTGATGGGCAGATGGACAGGCAGTGGCAGGCCTTAGCTGCTGGGGGGCACCAGCCTCCACCACCTGGATTAAGTGATGCTCAGTTGCTGAAGCCCACAGTTCAAAGCCATCTGTCCACGTGACTTTGAACTGGTTGACCAACAGCTGTTGGAACCGCCGGCTAGAGCAGCTGAACGCAGCGTGGTTGAACTTGAGCAGTTTCCAGGGTGGAAGCTTCATGGCCTCGCAGCCCTGCCTGTGTCTCTGAGGGTCCCACGGCAGCTGTTTGAAGCGGGGCCTCCCTGGTGGGGGGTGCACAGGTGTTTCTGTCAGCGAGTAGCTTGCTTTGACTTCCATGGTTTGGGCCCTGTCTCGCTCTGTGACGCAGAGGACCCTGTCCCGTGGGCCCTCCCAGCTGGCCCTGCCCTACCACCAAGGGAGTGTCTCCCCAGCCTGGAGCCAAACAGGGGTGCCGGGTGCCGGCCCTGGTGCCTGCCTCACTCTTCCCGGCCGCCTGACCCTCATCCTGGTTCTCACGGCTGGATGGCTTCCAGAGGCAGAGCTGATGACATCAGGAGACTGTGAGGGGCAGTGTGTGCCCAGCCACCCCCATGCTGACCTTCCCATGCCCTACAGAGGAGGAAGAGGACGTGCTGGTCTTCAACCTGCAGCACCTGGCCACGCTGGCCACAGCCTGGTCCTTGGTAGAGGCTGCCAGCCTGGACAGCTCCCCTGCCCCAGCACAGCCACCCACGGCCGCCCCCTGCAGCAGCCCCAGGCTCACCCCCCGCATGCAGATCCTGCAGCGCAAGGACACCTGGACCCCCAAAACCAAGCCTGTGAGTGGGGGTCCCACTGCCCACGTCGTCCAGTGCATGGCATGACTGGGGGCCCCAAGTGCCTGAGCTGCCCACACAGCCCCCGCCTGGGCCCTGGCCCGGCTCACAAGCCCCTGTGCCCCTTCCCCCCAGGTGTGCCCCCTGAAGGCTGCCATCGACCGGCTGGACACACAGGAGGTGGGGATGCGTGTGCAGCTGGCGGAGCTGCAGCGGCGCTACAAGGAAAAGCAGCGGGAGCTGGCCCGTCTGCAGCGCAGGCACGACCATGAGTACGCCCAGCCTGGTGGGGATGGGGGGCCTGGGAGAGTTACAGCACCCCCACCCCCGGGAGTACCTGCCGTGCGAACAGACCCGGACTGGGCTCTGCCCCCTGCCTGTGGGCAGGCACTGGGGCCTGTTGGGGAGACCCCCTACAGGCAGTGGGATCTAAGGATTGACATTCGTCCAGCAGCGAGACCAAGTGGCAGGGGCCGGGGTTGGTGGAAGAGCCTCTCATCAGAGGTTGGCACAGCAGGAGGCCAACCGCAGGGTGGCGGGTGAGGGAGTAGGGAGGGCTGGGGCCAGGGCAGAAGTTGTGGGAGAGGACACCCCCCAACCAGTGGGCGGGGGCCCTGGCTGGCCTTGCCCTCTGCTTGCAGGGTCGGGCTCCCCAGGCCAGGTCTGGGACGCACCTTTTGCCACAACCAGTAGCACTCTAAGGGCAGTGCCCTTGGCTGGAACTTGTCAGGGAGCTGGGTTGAGCATGAACCTCTGACCATCCCCCTTGCGGCCCCCAGGAGAGATGAGAGCTCGCGGAGCCCTGCACGGCGGGGGCCTGGCCGGCCGAGGAAGCGCAAACACTCCAGCTCGCTGCCCACCCCACGTCTCACAGGGCCGCTCCCAAGGAGCGACAGCAAGAAAGTCAAGTGAGTCCTGGACATTGGCGTTGCAGGTTGCGTGTGTCTGGCCAGCCTGGGGCCCTTGAGGCTGGGACAGCGGGGACTGGGTTCCTCTCAGTCTTCCGGGGCTGCTGGGGAGGCCCCTTCCCACCTGCTCCGAAGGCCTGGCCCTGCCCCTCCTACACCATCAAGAGTGACCAGCGGACAGAGCCCTGCTCCAGACAGGCTTTGCTTTGCCCAGCTGGCAGCTCCCGGCACCACCCCGGCCCGGGTCCCCACCGGAAGCCAAGGCCCAGCCACACCAGCTCCGCACACCTGGCTGTGGCCTGGTCCCCGCCCGGCCCCCCTCTCGTCTGAGGCGGCGTTGCGTGCAAGTCTGTTTATCTGCACTATATAAAGTCGTTGGTCACGGCCGCAGCGCGATGCTATTACCCATTACCCGCCCGGCGCCGTCGTTGGCGCACTCCCGGGCCTGGTATAATTGTCCTTCTCGGCTACAAATTGCCTCTCCCGGCAGGCCCATTTGCATAAATCCTCCGAGCTCCTCCACACACGATTGGCGCACGTGTGTGCGCACTGCATCAATCCTGATGATTTGGTAATAATAGTTAAATCGGCACTAAATGGTTCCTTCGATTAAGACAGAGGCAAAAAATTAATCTCAGGACTTTATGTCACAAAACATTAGCAAATGCAGAGAAGGTAAGAGGGAGGGGCTGTGTGGCCATGGGCAGTGGAGAGGTCACTGTATGGCTGCCCCCCAAGCTGCCTCCTGCCCTGCCCTGCCCAGGTGTCTCCTGGTGGGGTCTCCCGTGGAGAACCAGCCAGCACTGTGAGGGCTGCCAGGCAGGACAGGGCCCCTGGAAGCTAGGGTCTGGTTAGAAGCCAGCAGCCTCAGGACAGGGAGGGAAATTGAGTCCAGGACTCCTGTCCCGGAGGTCAGGGCCCCACCTCACCCTTCCACCCCCTTATCCTCACTCGTCCAGGGAGCGGAGGCAGAGGCAGTTGCCTCAGGGCTGGCCTCTCACCTTGCAGGAAGTGGGGGGGCTGGGGGCTCGGGGGCGTCTCCTGGCCTACGGCTTCCTGCCAAGCAGCAAGGAAGGAGCAGCATCGAGGTGCGGCCCTCAGAAGCCCAGCCTCGTCTGTGAGCAGGGAGGTGGAAAGGGACATCCGCCAAGCCAGAGCGGGGCAGGGCTCTTTGTCTCTGTCTGTGATTCATTTTTGTTAGCAGCCAGGGCTCCCTTTGCACCTGTGGGGGGCGTTGAAAGGTGAGGGGCCAAGTCCGCAGCCCGTCTACCCAAGAACAGGCTGAGAGACCCCCCCAAGCCTCAGTTTCCCCATGTGAAATAGGGCAGTGAGAGGTTCTGGGGAGGGTGGGTCACCCGCCCAGGAGGTGGGGGGATCAGGAGGGACCCATTTTGGGGCATCTGGAGGCGCTGCTGGGCCCTTGGAGGCAGGAGTTGACTCCGCCCCAGCCCCCAACCTGGGGGACAGCACAGCCACGGGTCTTGGGGAAACCGAGCCTCGGCTCTAGCAGTTTCCAGGGCTTCGTCTGGGAGGGGCAGGGGTTGCAGGATTCCCTTCTCATGACCTGCGTGGAGGGCAAGACGGACTCCCGAGAGGGTCCGAGCCGGCAGTCGGGGACTTGGGGAAGAGCCCAGGCTCCTCTGGACGCCGCCCCCACCCCACCCTGTCCCGGTAGGACTCCGCTTTGCCCGTCTGCTTCTAGCTGTGGAAGAAACGCTGGCAGTGGACAGTTCTCATGAACCTGCCTGGTGCCCACTCTGTCCCTAATGGTGGTGGCATCAGGACCCAAACACCCGCCAAGGGCCGGACCTGGCCTGCATAATCCCCGCCACAGACTCACAAGCGGGCACGTGTGCGGCTGTCCCACATTCAGGGTGCCAAAGTTGAGGTCGCAGCCCCACTTGGGCCCTGGTAGCAGCAGAGCCCTGGCTCCTGAGCACTGGGTGGCCCCCCAGAGCCCTGACTGGCCCCAGCCCCCAACGCCTGGCGTCTGGGTCACCGTGGCTAGGAGCAGACAGCACCCAAGGGCATCCCTTGGGTGGCAGGATGGGATTTGGGTAATAGAAGCGTACCCACTTCCAGTATGGCCAAGTGGGGGATGGGGCAGATTTGGGGACATAGGGACCGCTCAGGGCTGGTGGTTGGCAGGCAGTGGGGCTAGCTAGAGGCAGATGCATGGGGGAGCTCAGAGCTGGCTCAGCCCCCAGCCCCGTGCCCCTGGCTCTGTCTGCCCAAGATGTAGGGCCCTCGGAAGGGTGTGACCTACAGGGTGACCTGCCACAGGGACAGTGGGGGGATGAGGTTGGAGTGGCCAGGCCTGTATCTGCCCTGCACCCACCTGACCCCATTGCTTCCAGGGCAGTGCCGACAAGCCTGGGTCTGCTGTGCGCGGAGCTGCGAGGAGGCGTCGGGGGTGAGCCTGCCAAGAAGCGGAGCAAGCTGGAGAGGAGTGTCTATGCGGGCCTGCAGACCGCCGCCATGGTGAGCGTCGAGGCCCCACCTTGCCTCAGGGCCCTGTGGCCCCGTCCTGGGCAGGTAGCGGGCAACAGACTCCCCAGCCCCGTGCCCACACCGACTGCTCAGATGAGCGCATCAGGACTCGGAGCTCTGAGTGCTGACGAGGAGGGAGGCCGGGCCGACCTTCAGTGTCGTGGGGTCAGGTCTGACCGGTGGCCCAGCAGCCACTCGCCCCATGTCACTCCACCCTCCGGTCTCACTCCAGTGGGAACGCCGATGTTGAGGCTGCACTCTGCTTACAGAGGCTCCCTGGAGCGAGGCCCTGCCTTTCTGCCGGTGGCTCTGTCCATAGTGCCTGGGGCACACTTGGTGTGGCGGGGGCGCCTCAGTGCCCACACCCCTTCCTTCTTGGTACAGCAGATGCCTCCTGCCCCTTCCCTCTCTGTGACCTGGGGGTGCTGATGAGAGGTGGGCCCAGCGCACTGCACCTGTCTGCCCCCCCCCCAGCTCAGGGGCCTGATCCTTCTGCACAGGTGCTCTGCTTCATCCTTCCCTTTAGAAAAGCTAATGGCCTGGCCCCACAACACCCACAGCTGCTGGGTCCTCGGTCTCCTCCATGCCCCCCACGTGGGGTGGGCAGTTGGTGGGCAGCGGAGGGGGTGGGCAGTTGGTGGGCAGCGGAGTGGGTGGGAAAAGCCAAGCGTAGGCTCTGGGGTAGGCCCTGTGTCTTGGGCCTTCAGCTCCTGTGTATTGAGGGCCTGGGAGGTGCCAGTTCTGAGCCGGGCACTAACAGGGACACCTGCGGCCCAGGGGCCGTGGTTTGCGGAGGGCACCCTGAGTGTGCAACTGCCTCTCCCTGTTATAGGAGAAGGTGCAGTGTAAGAAGAGCAGCTGTCAGGGCGGGCTGGCGCCCTCCGTGGCCCACAGGGTGGCCCAGCTGAAACCCAAGGTCAAGAGCAGAGGGCTACCCACAGGCCTCAGCTCTTTCCAGCGGAAGGAGGCCACCTCCGGGGGGCGCATCCGGGAGAAGCTGTCCCGAGCCAAGAGCGCCAAGGCATCCGGGGCCATGCGGCACCCACAGCCCAAGGGCCACGGCAGCCGGGAGACACCCAGGTGCCCAGCCCAGCCCTCGGTGGCTGCATCCCGGGAGGCAGGCAAGTTGCTGATGTGAGGCCACGGCCAGGAGCCCCAATCAGGTCACTGGGGGGCGGGAGGAGAGGGCAGCAGGTGGCGGCCACCACTGGGGCAGGGTCAGGGCTCATGGGGTGTGACAGGTCCGAGGAAACCTCCTCATGAGGCAGGCTGGGGGAGGAGGATGGGGTCTCACAGAAGGAGTCCCCGTCCCTACGGCAGAGCTCAGTGGCTTTTGGCGTGCCTCACCCCGTGTCGACGCGAAAGGGGAGGAAGGACACCTCTGGAACCATCTAGGAAAGCCAATTTAAAAATAGCCCTCCCGATGGCCCCAGCCCCTCCTCATCTAGCGTCTGGCTGGGCTGACCCCGAGGCATTATGTGGCCCCCCCAGCAAACACACATGTCCAGAGACAGGAGCCTAGAAAAATAAGATGCTTCCTTCCTCCCCGCAGCTCCTTCCCCCTTCAGACGCCTGAGAAAGAACAAAGGGAGGACCGTTTAGGGCTGCGGGAGGGGCAGAGGGCCGTCTTGGGGGGACAGCAGAAAGAGGGGAAGGGACTTCCTGGGGAGGGTCCCCAGCTATGCCAGTGGTGCCCATTGCCCAGGATATGGAAGGGAAAAACACCCATCCCCACACCCATATAAATCCCTCAGGCTGGAGGCCGGGACCTCAGGCGCCTGCTCCCAAAAGCACCCCCACAAACCAGCCCAGAGGGTACAGTGGCCCCGCTCACAGCCCAACGCACCTGCATGTCCAGATGGCCACCTCCCCCACCCACAGTTGCACAGCTGAACGTCAAGTCATCTGGATTCCTCTGCCTCTCTCCCAGGCAGCAGCTACGACAGTGAGGACTGCGAGGGTCTCTTGGGGACAGAGGCACCACCCAGGGAGGCAGGGCTGGTGCTGCATGCCGGGGCCAGTGTGGCCGTGCTGGGACCCTCGCCCTCCTCTGTGGTCAAGATGGAAGCCAACCAGAAGGCCAAGAAGAAGAAGGAGAGGCAGGGGTTGCTAGGTAACCAGGAGGGAGAGCAGGCGAGGTCAGCCCAACCAGCAGGTTCTCCAGGACGGGGACCTCCGTGACAGCCTTGCCTCCCTCCCCCAGGGGCCTGCCGCCTGTCCAGCCCCGAGAGCGAGGTCAAGATCAAGAGGCGGTCAGTGAAGGCCAAGGTGGGCACCACCCTGGAGCGGTCCCCAGGGCAGAGGCCCCCAGGTGCGCCTGGCAAGAAGAAAGCTAAGGGCAAGGCCAAGGGTGGCCTGCGGGCAGAGCCAGGGGCCACCCCCAGCAGGGACGTCCTCTTTAGCCCCTCCCGGGCCTTCACCTGCCATGAGGAGGGCAGCCAGCTGGCCAGCGAGCGCCTCAAGAGGGCCACACGCAAGGGCACAGTGCTGCAGCCTGTGCTGCGGGTGAGGCTGGGCGCCGGGCCTAGTGGGTGGGTGCCCTTGGGAAAGGCCTTCCCCACCCTCCACGTACGCTGGCCCCTGAGCCCCGAGTCAGCCTGAGGCTGTCCCAGCAACATCAACTCAGCCCCTTCCCCGCCCACATGCAGCGGAAGAACGGGGCCCTTTCCATCACGCTAGCTGCGCACAACGCCAAGGCCATCCTGGGGAAAGGCCGGAAGCTGAGCAAGGTGAAGCGCAAGGCCGGCAAGCAGGTAGCAGCCCCCCACCCTGGGAGCCTACCTTGCACCCATGCCCCACCCAAGCCCCGCCCAAGCCTGACCTCTCTGACCCCTAGGGCAAGGGCCGGGCAGTGAGCCACCTGCTGGAAAGCTTTGCAGTGGAGGATGACTTTGAGTTCGAGGACAACAGCAGCTTCTCGGAAGAGGAGGAGGAGGAGGAGGAAGAGGAGGAGGACAGTGGCCCCCTGAGCGCGGAGCAGAGCGCTGCCCTGGGTGAGCAGGGCCAGGAAGGGCACCGGCCGCCTGGGGAGGAGCGGTGGGTAGCCCGTGCCGGCCACTGACGCCCTGTGCCCACAGCACGCTCGTGTGCCATCCACAAAGAGGACCTGCGGGACGGGCTGCCCGTGCTGATTCCCAAGGAGGACAGCCTGCTGTACGCGGGCAGCGTCAGGACCCTGCAGCCACCCGACATGTGAGGCTGGGGCACGGTGGGGCAGGGCGGGGGCCGGGCGGGCAACCAAGACCCACGGCCCCTCACACTCCCCAATGCCCCCAGCTATAGCATCGTCATCGAGGGGGAGAGGGGCAACCGGCAGAGGATCTACTCGCTGGAGCAGCTGCTGCAGGAGGCGGTGAGGACCGGCCGGCCTGTCCTGGGGAGGGGCCTGGCTGGCTTGCCCCAAGACAAAGGAGGGCCTTGGCCCAGCCTGCAGCCACCACCAGGACCAGGGACCAGGCTCTCGGGCAGCCCTGTGCCGGGCTGCTTGCTCATGAGCCGCTGCCCACGCTCCTGCAGGTTCTTGACGTGCGGCCACAATCCAGCCGGTACCTCCCACCCGGCACGCGCGTCTGCGCCTACTGGAGCCAGAAGTCTCGATGTCTGTACCCAGGCAACGTGGTCCGCGGTGAGCCACACTGCAGGCAGGGGCTGGGGCAGGACCCTCTGAGGCCCACAGGCTCCATCTGCCCCTAATAGCCCTGCTTCCAAGGCTGGCGAGGGCAGAACCAGCTTTCTCAGAGCATCATAGTGGAGTCAGTTCCCCAGACGCCATGAAAACGTAGTGGGTGTGTGGGGAGGGGTGGGGGGGCTCTGCCCTCCAGCCAAGCAGAGGGGACCAGCAGGAAGAGACCCAGAGCCCTGCTGCTGGGGGTCACAGAGTACACTGGGGGCACCAGCTCCCCTGGGCAAAACCCCCTGACCACAGGCAGGGCATGTAGGTCCCCAGGGCAGAAGGCTCAAGGGTCCTACAGGCAAGTGGCCAGGTGGGCGGGAGGTGCCTCCAGGCAGGACTCGGCTCAGAGGTGGGCGCTTGACCATGAGCACATGCGGGGAGGTCTGGGCCTGGGCTGGGTGGGGGCGACGTGGGGGAAGTCTGGGCCCGGGCTGGGTGGGAGTGACAATAACATCACACGGGAGACGCTGCAGGAGGTGGAGAGGAGGCTCTGGCTCCCGGGCTGCAGGGCAGCTTCGTGGTCTGTGTGGTCAGGAAGCAGAACCAGGAGCCCTCCCCTCGCCCTGCCCACCGGCCTCGGCAGCCCGCCTCCCAGTTGTTCCAGGAGATACAAGCTCAGGCGTGCTGTCCACAGGGGCCTCTGGCGATGAAGATGAGGACCTGGAGTCGGTAGTGGTGGAATTCGACGATGGGGACACCGGTCACATTGCCGTCTCCAACGTTAGGCTGCTGCCCCCAGACTTCAAGATCCAGTGTGAGCCCCGGGACCCTGTGTGGCAGGGACCTGGGTGGGGCAGGGCGGGGCTCTGGGGGCAGGGCAGGGTGGGGTGGGGCCCTGGGGCGGGGCGGGGCCCTGCCTGGGCTGTACTTAGTCCAGAGGCTCCCAAGGAAGGGTTGGGGTGGCAGTCACCCCATGGCCATGGCACTGAAGCCCTTGGCCCATGCTCTCTGCAGGCACAGAGCCCTCTCCAGCCCTGCTAGTCTCTAGCAGCTGCCGGAGGACCAAGAAAGTGTCCAGTGAGGCCCCCCTACCCAGCGAGGCTGCCACCCCCAGCCTGTCCCCCAAAGCGCAGGATGGCCCTGAAGCTTTGAAGACACCCGGGAAGAAATCCTTTAGCAAAGACAAAGCCGGTATGTTGCTGGACTTCCCAGAACCTGGATCACGACAGGCACCCTCTGGGGACTGGGGGCACCGGGAGGCCCTTGGGGCAGGCAGGGTCCGGGGAGGAGCAGGTGGAGGCTGCTGCATGGGCCCAGGCTGACTCCCCTGGGTTTTTGTCCTCAGGTAAAGCCGAACTCCTAACCTCAGGTGCCAAATCCCCCATGGGGGCCTCCGACCATTTCCTGGGCCGCCGGGGTAGCCCCTTGCTGAGCTGGTCCGCGGTGGCGCAGACCAAGCGGAAGGCGGTGGCCACGGCCGGCAAGGGCCCGGCGGCGCTGCAGAACCTCTTCCAGCTCAACGGCAGCAGCAGGAAGCTGCGCGCCCGCGACGCGCTGTTCCCCATGCACAGTGTGGCCGCGCCCGTGTTCGGCAACGGCTTCCGCGCCGACTCCTTTAGCAGCCTGGCCAACTCCTATGCGCCCTTCGTCAGCGGGGCCGGGCCAGGCCTCCCTGGGGGATCCCACAAGCTGCTGCGGGCCAAGAAGGCTGAGAGGGTGGAGGCCGAGAAGGGCGGGCGGAGGCGGGCAGGCAGCGAGTTCCTGGTCAAGCTGGACCACGAGGGCGTGACCTCTCCCAAGAGCAAGACCTGCAAGGCGCTGCTCATGGGGGACAAGGACTTCGGCCCCAAGCTGACACGGCCCCTGCCCAGCCCCAGCTACGCGCACCCGGCCCTCGTGGGCAAGGACAAGAAGGGGCGGGCGCCCATACCCCCGCTGCCCATGGGGCTGGCGCTACGCAAATACACAGGCCAGGCCGAGTTCCCACTGCCGTGTGACAGCGACTGCCACAGCTCCTACTCAGATGAGGACGAGGATGGGCCGGGGCTGGCAGCCGGCGTGCCATCCCGCTTCCTGACCCGCCTGTCCGTGTCCTCCTCCTCCTCCGGCTCATCCACCTCTTCCTCCTCGGGCTCCGTGTCCACCTCCAGCCTCTGCTCCTCGGACAACGAGGACTCGTCCTATAGCTCAGACGACGAGGACCCGGCCCTGCTACTGCAGACCTGCCTCACCCACCCTGTGCCCACCCTCCTGGCCCAGCCCGAGGCCCTGCGCTCCAAGGGCGGCAGCCCCCACGGGCATGCCCAGCGCTGCTTCCTGTCCAGGGCCTCCGTGGCCGGCGCCGGCGTAGGCTCTGGCCCCAGCAGCAGCAAATCTAGGCTCAAGCGCAAAGAAGCCCTGAGCTTCTCCAAAGCCAAAGACCTCTCGCGGAGGCAGCGGCTGCCCTCCGTGGAAAACCGGCCAAAGATCTCAGCCTTCCTGCCCGCCCGGCAGCTCTGGAAGTGGTCGGGGAACCCCACACAGGTAGGGCTCCAGTGGGCAGCGGGAGGAGCTCCTGGCCCCCAGGGAAGCCCCCAGGGAAGCTTGCTGTGCCCCCACTGCCCTTCTCTCCCTGCTGTGTTCATCTTCCTACTTGTTTCAAGTAAAAAAAAAAAAAAAATTGGAAAACTCCAGGGAGAAACAAAAACCCACCCACAACCCAGTAAGGCGGACGGCCACTGCTGCTGGAGCCCATGGCTCACGCGACAGTGGAAATGGCTTCATGTCGGGTCCCCCCGAGCTGCTCGCATGTTCTGGCCTCACCTTCCCACATCGATAAGTGGCTCCGCCAGAGGTGGAGGGTCCCATCTCTGGTGCTCGGACACCACCTCTGTCCTCACCAGGGCACTGTTCTAGGGGCGCTTGTGGGGCCATTTGTGGGTCTTTTGCCTTTGTGAATAACACTGTCGTAGTGGCCACCCCGTTCACACATCCCTGCCCCAGATCATTGTCCCTTTAGAGTCAGTCCAGGTGTCATACCTGTGTCCGTGGAGGCATACCCCCTGCTCCCATCATGATCCCAGGGCCTTCAGCCACCGTTCCTGCTGTTGTAGGCCCCCTGCCACACACACCCCCACACTACATGCACACCCGCCCATACATCCTCACCAGCACTCAGATACACACGCTCACAGACACACCCCCACACTACGTGCACACCCGCCCATACACCCTCACCAGCACTCAGATACACACGCACAGACACACCCCCACACTACGTGCACACCCGCCCATACACCCTCACCAGCACTCAGATACACACGCTCACAGACACACCCCCACACTACGTGCACACCCGCCCATACACCCTCACCAACACTCATACACACGCTCACAGACACCCACTCACACCCACTCCGCACGCCCACCCATACACCCTCACCAACACTCAGATACACACGCTCAGACACACCCCCAACACTACGTGCACACCCGCCCATACACCCTCACCAACACTCACATACACATGCTCACAGACACACCCACTCACACCCACTCCGCACGCCCACCCATACACCCTCACCAACACTCATACACACGCTCACAGACACACCCCCAACACTACGTGCACACCCGCCCATACACCCTCACCAGCACTCAGATACACATGCTCACAGACACACCCCCACACTACGTGCACACCCGCCCATACACCCTCACCAACACTCAGATACGCTCACAGACACACTGACTCACACCCACCCATACACCCTCACCAACACTCAGACACACACGCTCACACCCTCACCCACCCATACACCCTCACCAACACTCATCCTCACACACCAACATGCTCACTCACCGTCACCCACAAACCTTCACCTGCAGCCACACACACCCACTCACACCCACACTCAAACCCTCACGCCCACTCGCACTCACACGCCCACTCAGACCTTCACTCACTCACACACCCACACCGTTACCCACATTCTCACCCACACCCACACCCTCCAAGCCTCCTGGCCGCCACCTCCCGCTATGACCCAACCTCTCAGAGTGCCCGCCTGTGTCCCCCACAGCGGCGCGGCATGAAGGGGAAGGCGCGGAAGCTGTTCTACAAGGCCATCGTGCGGGGCAAGGAGACGCTGCGTGTCGGGGACTGCGCCGTCTTCCTTTCGGCCGGGAGGCCCAACCTGCCATACATCGGCCGCATCGAAAGCATGTGGGAGTCGTGGGGCAGCAACATGGTGGTCAAGGTCAAGTGGTTCTACCACCCCGAGGAGACCAAGCTGGGCAAGAGGCAGTGCGACGGCAAGGTGAGGCCCGTGAGGCCGGGTAGGTGCGGGGCTGATGGCAAGGTGAGGCCCCTCAGGTCCATGCGGCCGGGCAGGTGCGGGGCTAATAGCAAGGTGAGGCCCACGGGGCCGGGCAGGTGCGGGGCTGATGGCAAGGTGAGGCCCATGAGGTCCATGCGGTCGGGCAAGTTCAGGGGCTGACAGCAAGGTTAGGTCCCCAGGGAGGACCCGGGGAGGGGATAGGACAGCAACCAGCACTGTGCCCCAACACAGAGCACCCGGCCCCATCACAGCCTTGATGAGCAGGTGCCACGGCCCGTGGGCATGTTCTGGAGCGGGGCCCCGGGTCCCTCCCTGCTTTGACAGTGTCACCTGGTGGGGGGTTGTGGCCACAGCAGTGCTCAGCATCCGGCAGGCCCAGTTCACTCCTAGGACATGTGGCAGCCCCCACCCTATGGGCCCTCCCTGCCACTGATGCCAGCCAGCGACAGAAATTGCTGTCCACACGCCCTCTGCTCCTCCTTGAGAAGAAGCCACTTCCCAGGCCACGTGACGCATCCATCTTTGGGGAAATGAGCATTTTTTTGACAGCTCACAGAGGGTCCCCAGCAGGCTCCTCGGCCTCTGGACTGGTTCCCGTCTTCCAGCCACACAGTTAGAGGCCCCTTCAGGGACCCTGACAGAGCTGGGGTGGGGGGGTCTTTCCAGCTGAGGCCAGCCACTGACGCCCTGCACACCTTGTCCCCAGAACGCACTGTACCAGTCCTGCCACGAGGATGAGAACGACGTGCAGACCATCTCCCACAAGTGCCAGGTGGTGGCGCGTGAGCAGTACGAGCAGATGGCCCGCAGCCGCAAGTGCCAGGACCGGCAGGACCTCTACTACCTGGCGGGCACCTATGACCCCACCACCGGGCGCCTGGTGACAGCCGACGGTGTGCCCATCCTGTGCTGAGCCGCCCACCGCAGATGCCTCCCACCCTTGCCGGGGACCCTGTGCGCGCAGCCTGGCGTGGGCCGAGCCGCCGGGTGGGAGGCAGCCTGGCCTCCCAGGGGCGAGTCTGAGCAAATATGCAAGCCCATGGGCAGCCCAGGCTTTCCTCCGGTTTCCCTGGAAAAAGCGCTCTAGGCGTTGAAACCCAGTCCCGTCCCGTCCGCTGCGGAGGGTCGGGCGGTGGCCCCGATGGGTCCCTGGCCCACCCCACCCACAGCACCCTCCGTTTCCTGCACCGGCAGTTCACGGGAGATTCTAATCCAAGCCATATTCCCTAGTACCTCCGACCGTCTCCCACCAGGGAAAGCAGAAATCAGGTGTGTTGTCTATTTATTTCTCTATGTAAATATTGTATTTCTGTGGGGAAGTTTTACTGAAAAATGTGGAAAAGGATTTTTCCCTATTCACGTGTCGAGGTGTGTGTATGTGCGTATGTGTGCATGTGTGCGTGTGTGGGTGCGTGTGTCTGCCTGTGTGTAACGATTTTTGTCCCGGGATTTCCTTTGGAAATGCAGTGTTCTCAGCCTAGCTGGGTTCCAACAGGGCATCTGGGATGACAGAGGCAGCTCTGGGCAGGGGCAGGAGGCAGAGGCCACGGGAGGCTCAGGTGGAGCCTTGGCGGCACCCTCTGATCTCTCGGGGGGGATGCCCGTGCAAGATGAAAGTCAGTCGGGTTCTTTCTTTTCAGTACGTCTCCTAGAAAAGAAGTGTTGGAGCCGGGGGTGGTGATGAGGGGCCATGGGGAAAAAAGGGGTTCAAGAGGTAAAGCCCAGACCAGGGAGTGTGACAGTGGACATGTGCCTCTCACCTCTGCTCAAAACAACACAAAGATGAACAAATATTTTAAGGTATTGATAAGAAAAAGCGATGCTTTGATCGTATTTCCCGAATACATATTCCAACTTGTATCTGATTTCCGTTTCCATGGCCAGTGGGTTTAAGGCCACGGAGTCTGGCCTCCACCCAGAGCAGGGAGAAGCTGACCCCTCGCCCCCTCACCCTCACCGCCCTGGCACACTCTGGAAGCAGGGCCCAGCTCTGAGCCCCTCCTCACCACCAGGTCCCTAACTTTCCTGAAAGGAGCAGTTGCTGCGTGAAGGGGCAGCTTGACCAGGTCCCTGAACTGGGCAGGGCTCAGGGCCCACGAGGGCGGGTTCTCTCCTCACCCCAGAGCAGAGTACATGGAAGAGACACCCCGTTTTCCTCCCCAGGTACCTTTATCACTGCCCCCAAAGCCCTGGCCAAGCTTGCTGGCCTGCTCAAGGCATAGGTGCTGGTGGGGCCAGGCCGGAAGTGCTGTGGCCAGGGCAGGCTCTGCCCCCCGGCCCACCACAAGCAGGGGAAGGCTCCTTCATGACCCCCTTTTCCACCAGTCACGTCTGCCTGGCCCTCGGACCCCTCTGCCTGCCCCTACACCATTAGAGGTTTCTGGGCCTTTTCTGCGGACACCTGGTGGATCAGAGGGCCTGATGGGCTAATGCTTGTGGCATAGAATAAGGGTCCCCCTGACCACCTGAGCCCACATCCTGGCCCCAGGTACAAGGAGCGCCTTTAAGGGGCTCTGCCCCAGTAACCCAGGAGAACTCACACCCCCCCTCCCACAGCCAAGGACAGACAGGGCTGCCTGGACCTGAGCCCGACAGCCTTCAACCTCAGAAATACATGGTGGGGCCACACACTTGCCGTGTCCTTTCACCCCAAGGCTCCTCTGGCCCCACAGGAGCTTCAGGAAAGCCCCCCAAGTTAGCCACTGCTCTGGGACCGGCTCTGTCACCCACACCGTGGGCTGTGGAACCAGGGGTGCTGGCGGGTGCCCTACCCCCAAATCCCAGGTCCCCTTGACCCCCCTGTTTTTTCTTGGGTCTATTAGGGACTGCTTCTCACCTGCTGGCTGGCCTCCTTGAAGGGCCATTTCCGGAGGCTCCCTAAGAAGCTGAAGGCTGGGGGGTCATGTTGTGGTTGGGGATCCCCACTCCTACCCCCGAGCCTACTCTTTGTCTTGCATGAGTGCAATATTTCATTCCCGGTGGCTGTCTGGGGAGGTGGTTGGATGAGGTCCTGCTTGAGGCTCGGGGATCAGAACAACGTCCCGTGAGGAAGCGCGCGCCGCCGCGGACACACTGAGCCGTGGGAGCTGGAGGGCAGGCGTTTTGCACCCGAGGCCGAGCAGGGCGCGACCATGGAGGTCGGACACCTGGCCCACCGCTGCGCTCCTGTCCTGCTGGGCTCCGATTTGTCCCTGGTTTTTCTCTCTTTTCCTTTCTGTGTGTGTGTGAATGGTGTGACCCCTCCCCCTCTCCGTGGTTAACGTGACGAAGGCACGATTCCTGTAAATGTGTAAACTAAGGGGATGGTTGGATTTTTTTTTCAATGTAAACACTAAAAACAGACAAAAAACACACAAAGGTTTTATGAACAGCAGACTCTATGTAAAGGCATTTTAGTATTAAATTTTTTATTGATAACTTGCTTAAGAATAAATATATGGACTATTGTACAGGTTCTCAGTGGTCCCGGGTCCTGTATCCCACGGTTACTCCTGGGTCCCCGGGGCTCCAGGGCGCAGCAGAAGCCTCCTATTCCCAGAGCTGGGGCTTCTGGGCCAGGCCTCCCCACCACCCCCTCCCCACCACCCCCACTGTGGCTGAAGTGAAGCCCCTCAGGGCACTGAGCCAGGAATGGGACATGTGACCGGAACCGGTCGGGTGGGCTTAGGTGTGGGGCCCCTGCAGGAGGAGGCCTCTTCCCTGGTTGGTCTCACAGGCCCCTGGTCAGTCCCTGTCTAGCCTGAACCAGTCTGGGGCCAGAGTAGGTTCCACTGGAGGGCACAAGGGGTAAGAGCTGCCACGTTGGGCAGGGCCTCAGATGTGAGGGATCGCCAGGCCCAGGTGTGCGGACGGGGCAGTGCAGCCCCAACTAGAGAGCGCCCTGCTCAGGGGGCTGCAGAGTCAGAGGAAGCCCGACGGATGCGAGGGGCAGAGGACAGGTCTTGTTCCCCTCCACCTCCGGGGTCTCTGGGGAAGCTTCATGAGGTCAGCACACATCCGCCCCCGTGGCCCTGAGTGTCTGGTTGCAGCTGTGCCCAAGGCCAGGAAACACGGTCCAGGAGGATGACTCCTGAGTCAGCAGCGCCGCCCCAACCCCTGCCCCGTGAGTGCAGAGGGAGGTGCTCAGGGGCGGCGTGCCCGGGCTGCAGCAAGGGTGGGAGCAGAGGGAGGGAGGGCTCGCTGGACCAGGTTTCCGGGTCAGGGGTCCTCTGTGGTCAGAAAGGAAGGACTGGGGTGGGGCCAGACACTCCCTATGGGCTCCGGAGACCCTGACTTCCGTAATTTCCGTTCCTTTTTTGGGGCAGAATCCAGGCCAAAACAGGGAGGAAGGGCTGTGGCCACTGCCCCGGCTCCCTGAAACAGGACTTGCGTGGACACTGCTGCCTCCTGCACACCCCATGAGCTTGCCCGACAGAGCAATCACACAGAGGCTGAAGGTGGCCAACAGGGACTCTGGGGCAAGAGAGCGGGTGCAGCCCAGGCTGGTGGGGTGACATCTGCCTGGGAACCCGACAAGGCACCTCCTCTGCCAGCAGGTCTCGGGTTCAAATCCTCCATTCACCCAGCACTGCCTGGTGCCAGCAGTGTGCCAGGCAGCCGCGGTGGGGAATGAGTGGCCCATGGGTCCACCTTCACAACAGGCAGATGGGAGAGATCAGAGCAGTGGGGCCACACATGGAACCCAAGGTTGGCCGCCACGTCTCAGCCAAAAGGGAGGTATCGGGGCTGAGCAGGCCTCGTGGGGCAGCGCTGTGGCTCCCTGTCCCCGGCCGCATGTGGCAGCGGAGACATCCTCATGCAGCAAAGCAGACCACTGAGTCCCCGGGGCAGCCGGGTGGGCTCGATGGAGGGAGCCATGCCTGGGCTGTCTTGGAAGAGCCCAGGGCAGGCTGGCAGAGGACAGTCAAGAGCCAGCTGTGGTGGCCAGGAGGTGGTCAGCGGGGGAGCAGGGGCTGCTGGAGCTAGAGGATGGCGGAGGCCGGATCTCAGGCCCCTTAGAGCAGTTGAGCCTGTTCTCTCCTGGACAGTGGCTGCTCCACAGGCACTAAGCAGAGTCTGCAGTCAAATCGGGGCACACTCTCTGCAGCCTGGGGGTCAGGGTTAGAGAGGGGTCAGGGTTAGAGGGGCCAGCCCAGCCAGGCGCCTGGGGGTTCAGGTTAGAGGGCCCGGGCCAGCACAGGTACCTGGGGGGAGGGGCTGACACCGAGAGAGGCTTCAAAGGCCTGGGTGGCACAGGGCCAGACCAGAGGTCCAGGTGGGGCTGAGGGCCAGAAATGGCCAGAGGGGAGGGGGCCTGCTGAAGGGGGTGACACCAGAGAGCCCAGGAATGGTTGGGGTGAGCCCAGTAGGCAGGTGCCTTGGGCACAGACAGTGGGGTCTACAGCAGACTTAGGTGAGCCCCCGACCTCGACGTCTGACCTTCCCAGGAGCCCTGCAGGGTGCACTGGTGAGTCCCAGGGCCGGACTTGCACCTGGGCCTGGCCCGAGACCCCACTGCCCTACACTTGGTTCTACTGCCTCTCCTCCCCCCAACTTCCTCCCACCTTATCTCAGATAGGGCCATCCTTGCCTTCCAGCATGTACTGCCCCCAGAACAGGGCTTCAGCAAAGGGTGGGGCGTTGTGGGAAGGATGGTGGGGGGGCTGGGCCTGCACAGTTGCGGAGCCCCAAGGGTTAAACATGCAAGACTACACTTTGATCAAGACAAACGAGCCATTATGTGAAATGCTGGAGCAAGATAAATGCTGGCACTGGGTGAGCGAGATCAATAAAAGTGATGTTTTATCAGGGAGAAATGACAACCCGGCTGATCGCAATTCGTTTTTAATACCACAAACCAATTGGGGACCGGGGGGCTTTAATTGTCCGTCCCCGGCCTGGTGAGGTTGCTGGGGGTTTGTAGGGACTGGGGGAGAGGCAGCCGCACACCTCAGCCATCGAGGGGTTACCAGGCACTGGAGCTGGCCAGACGCCCATGCCGGTGGCCTCTGATAGTCTCCTGAGTCTATAGCAGGCAGGGTGAGGAGGCCCCTGGGTGCCGGCTAAGGAAACAAGCAGAGGCAGAACCCCAGAGGAATGACTTTGAATAGATCCCTGCCTCCTGCCAAGCCCCTACCAGGAACCTGGGTCCCTCAGCCTCCACTCTCCCCCCACAGCCACCCTGTCCCGCTCCCTGGGAGTCCCAGTGAGAAGCCAGCACCTCCCTCCTCTAAGCCAGAGGACCCTCCCTAGCACCACAGCCTCTGTAACCGACCTCAGGCCGCCTGGAGTCGTGACGGGGACGAGGACACATCTAGGGGAGCGAGATTCCTGGGGACAGGCGGGTGGGTTGCTCAAGGCCCGGCCCCCACTCAGTGCCCGCCTGGGACCATAGCACAGCTGGCAGGGGGACCAGGAGCCTGAGTGACCCAGGCCCCAGGCCTGCCCCTGCCTCAGTTGGGGAGCTGGCCCAGGCACTGGTCGGTGGGGTAGGGGTGCAGCCTGGGGCCAGGCGTGCAGGGGCAGCCTGCCTTTCCAATGACCTGGACCCCAGGGTCCTTCTCTGTGAAATACAGACCTTGAGTCTCTTTCCCCAACCCATGAGACCAGGATGGGCTCACAGGCAGCCCAAGGGATTTCTGGACGGATGCATGGGCAGGGTCCTGTCAGCATAGGGGTCCCTTTCCCTTGGCTCACAGGCTCAGCCCACAGGCCTGTGTCCCCACCCGCACCCAAGGGAGGCTTGAGAGGCCAGTTTGGGCAGAAAAAGGAACAGGGCCCGCCTCCAGACCTCCCATGTGTCCGCCTCGCCACAGAGATCAGCTCAGCGCTCAGGGCTCTGGCAGTGCTTGCCTCACTTCCAAAGGCCAGACACACTTCCGCTTCCATTCAGTCCCCAGGACTCCTGAGGTCCTGGGCAGAGGCCTCCCCAAAGCACGAAGAAGCGGCAGACCAAGAGCAGACACCAACAGTAGCCACGTGGGGCCCAGAGCAGGGCTTTCCGTGAGCAGGACACGTGGTCTCGGCCCGACGTCGCCGCAGCACTGGGAAACGCATTTCCTTACGTTCCACGTCCCCTGGCATCTTTTGCCCCTTTCCTTTGCTTAGATTGAGTTTCAGGCAGGCTGTATCCTGTGTTTTAAGTCACTGGGGCCACTCTGATGGGTGTCTCCTGTCTGTTTTTTGGAGGCCGACTGCACCCATTTACAGAAAGAAAAGGCAAGGGATTGACACAGCACCCTAGGCCTCCTGAGCCAACACCTCCTATTCAGGGGAAATCAGTCCTGTCTCTCTGGACAGAGGACAGCAGGGTCCCTCATGATACCCAGAGCTGGTGGGGAAACAACACGTCCACCCTATCCCAGATATCCTAGAATCTGCCATCCTGCCAGCAGAGGCCTGTGATGTCCCTGTCCCATCAGAGCAGACTCAGTGCATGTTGGTTCTCAGCCCTGACGATGTGATCTGTTCTTGGCATGGCCACAGCTTTTTCCTTCTAGTCATCCACTCCTCTGTCCATCGGCCCATCCATATCTGTCTGTCATTTCAACTTTTTTTTTTTTTTTTTTTTTTTTTTGAGACGGAGTTTCGCTCTTGTTACCCAGGCTGGAGTGCAATGGCGCGATCTCGGCTCACCGCAACCTCCGCCTCCTGGGTTCAGGCAATTCTCCTGTCCCAGCCTCCTGAGTAGCTGGGATTACAGGCACACGCCACCATGCCCAGCTAATGTTTTGTATTTTTAGTAGAGACGGGGTTTCACCATGTTGACCAGGATGGTCTCGATCTCTTGACCTCGTGATCCACCCGCCTCAGCCTCCCAAAGTGCTGGGATTACAGGCTTGAGCCACCGGGCCCGGCCATTTCAACTTTTAATATAAACTCAAGATCTACTGTGTGCCAGGTCCTGTGCCAGGCGCCAGGATGCAGTGTTGAGAAGATTACACAAAGCCCCCACCCCCCAGAAACTCAGAGCCCAGGAGGGAAGAAGGACAGCACAGAAGCCCTGGCACCTGACACACCAGGAACTCCAAGGGAGAAGCCACATCGAAGGACACAGGACGGGTTCCTTCCCCAGTATGGAGCAGCTAAGGAATGCAGCTCCAGGCCCCCAGGGAGGGGAGCAGTCTTGTTGCCCTTCTAGGAAGCTCAGCCCCTAGTAGAATGTACTTCCGGGGGCATCTGAGTTGCTTCCTTTAATTTAATCTGAAGACAAAAGTTGAACTAAGGCAGCCTGCAGAGAAAGGCAGGAGAAGGGCCTTGCTAGGTAGGAATTGTCTTCCATTGGCATCACCTCAAAAAACAGCAACTTGGAGAACAGCCTCTAGGCCTGGGCCCTCAGCCCTGGGGCAGATCAGCTAGGCCAGTGGGAATGCTGGTCTCACTGAGCCTCGGGCTGGGGGCTGGGGCTTCACTGAGAAAAAGTGTTCCAGATGGCAGTGGGGTGGGCTAAGCCAGAGTCCTCCCATAGCCCCTCTGC